TCGGGCCTGTCCCTTCTCAGAGCTCCGTTCACACAGACTAGGACCCACCTTCCCCAGGAGCCAGGGGTAGGCTACAGTCCCTCTGGGGCCTCAGTGGAAGGCCTGGGGAAACCAAGGGCCTGGCTGGGGGCCATCTGAGTGGAAGACTGTTGTCAGGTGAGGCCCCTTGCCCGGCCATGAGGCAGACCCGAGCAGAAAGGCCCCCTGAGGGGAGCGTAGGTCGGGTGCTTGTGCTTAGAGCTGAGGGCTTCTGTTCCCAGCCCACTTTCCTGCCAGGGCTCCCTCACTCAGAGGGGCCTGGGGGTGCCTTCGGCTGGGTTCTGTTTGCCCCTTCGTTAGCACACAGCGGCAGGGGCTTGAACGGAAAGCCCCAAAGTCTAGTTTCTTCAGCCTCAAAACGGCATCCACATGGAGAAGGGAATCCAAGAGACTGATGTCTGTGAGGCTCAAAGCCTGCAGTTCTGCCTGTAGTACACACTCAGCACACACCCGTAGTGAACGCCCATAGAACACACTCTGCACACACCCGTAGTGAACGCCCATAGAACACACTCAGCACACACCCGTAGTGAATACCCATAGAACACACTCAGCACACACCCGTAGTGAATGCCGATAGAACATGCTCATCACACACCTATAGTGAACGCCGATAGAACACACTCAGCACACACCCGTAGTGAACGCCCATAGAACACACTCAGCACACACCCGTAGTGAACGCCGACAGAGCACACTCAGCACATGCCTATAGTGCACACTGAGACAGTCACAGCACATGCCCGTGGCTCACACACAGGCTTATGCTCACAGCACACACCGCACACACACGGCTCCCTCATGTAGGGAAACCTGCTCTTCTTCTTCATATCTCCCCTGAATTCAGAATGGTTAGGCATCTCGCACAGGCTGAATGCTTTGGGAAAGACATGCTTCTGTTCACCCACACTCCTGTGGCACCCTGGCTCTCTGCCCGGCACACAGAGGGCACTGGATGCTGGGCGTGGACTGCCAAGGCAGAGCCGAGCTGCCCCTGTCGTCTCTCCAGACATTCAGGCGGCCAGGATAGGCAGTGAGCAAGCACAGTGCGTCAAGAAGGCACTAAAGCTGGAGGCTGAGCGGGAAGTGAGGGGCAGGGGACTGGTCAGCGGTAGGCTGGTGGTCAGGGAAGGATCGGGGCGGGGACATTTGAGTTGAGCACTGGGTGTAAGTGGGCTGAGGGTGGCTGTCTCAGCACCTCCCTGCATCCAGGCAGAGCTGGGCTGGCCCTTGCCCCCGACCTCCTCGCCATTGGAAATGTGGCCTCTGCTGGCCTCCTGGCCAGGGGACGCCAGTTTCCTTTGGCAGTGCCACCACTGGTTTGGGGAGGGAGGGAGCATGAAGGTTTGTCCTGTGTCACCAACGTCGCAGAGGGCCTCCTGCAGGGCGGGTTCTGCCTGGAACTTGGCCAGCTGACCCTGTCCTCCTCGCTCATGGCTCATGACCCCCTGACAGCCGTGACCCTCTCCTACCTCTGGATCTGGGGCTCCTGCATTCCCCCTGGGCCTCTGCATCTCCCTCCTCGGCTGCCCATCACCCCACCCACAGCCTGCCTGGAATTTCACGCCGGTTCTCGCCCTGGCTTGTCCTTTTAGGGCAATGCCTGAGTTCTCAGGAACCTCACTTATTCGGGGGTGGGGGGAGGGGGGGGAGGCTGGGATGGCAACTCAAATAGGAACAGTGCCCGGAAGGGGGGGAGGAGGGATTCAGCTTTGTCTTCAAGGCCTCCCATCTCCTAAATCTTACCCAAGATGTCAGACTTAGCAGGGAGAAGACAGAGAAGCAACTCCCTGTCCCCCGTGCCCCCCTTTGCATCCCTCTAGTATTGACTGAGCGCTTACCATGCACCAGGTACCGTTCCTCACAGCAACCCGAGGCTGCGAGCACTGCCCTTCTCATGCTGCAGGGGAAGACACTGAGGCCCAGAGAGGTTAGGTCACTCCTACAGGGTCACATAGCACAGCAGACACACGGGGAGGCCTGGAACCCAGGACTTCTGGTTTTAGTTACTTCTGCTTCCCCATCAGACCCAGGCAACGCTCATCCAAGAGCTAAGAGGGCAGAAAGTCAGGATTTCAACGCCTGCGTCCTGCAGACTCCGTGTTGGGCCCCCCTCTCTCAGCAGGACAGGCAGCCTCACACCCACAGCCGGCTAAACAGGGTGCCTGGGAACTCGGTCCTGCCAGGCATTCTGCAAAGATGCCAACAGCCAGCCAGGCACCGAGCCAGGCACCAGCTTTGACATTCACTCACCACGGGTTTGTTGGGCAGCTGGTATGTGCCAGGTGCCATCCTAGATGCTAATTCTGACTTCAGGGAGCTTGTAGCCTGGGAAAGACAGTCAGACAGACAGACAGACATGCATGTCATCAGCTAGAAAGCCCTCCCATAGGTGCTTGTGTATGTGTGGCGGGGGAGGGGGGGGTGAAGGGGGGGAAAGGGGGAGGACACTGGGAGCATTAAGAGGCTTGAATGACCTGCATCTGGCCCGAGTGATCAGGCCACGGCTGGAGGAGCCTTGGGCCAGTTATTTAACTTCTCTCAACTTCCGTTTCCTTGTCTGTAATATGACTTTTGTGAGGATTTCATGCTGAAATGCAAATCAGGTGCTTAACACGGTACGTGACACAGACTAGCAAGCATTCAATAGACTCGAGATACCCACCGCACTCCAGTTTGCCCTCCCAACCAGAGTACAAGCCCCATGAGGGCACGGGCCGGGCCTGCCTGCTCACCGCTGTATCCCAGTGCCGAGACCAGAGGCTGGCACCCAGTAGGTGCTCAGGAAATACTTGTTTAATGAGGGCATGGGGAGTGCCCTGAGGCTGTCCCTGCAGCCCTCTTCCCACCCGGGCCCCTCTCCACCTTCCACACTCAGGAAGCACCCTGAGTCTCTTAGGGAGAGCTGCCTGCTGCCCCACAACCACGCTGCCGGCACCGCTGGGGACTCCCATTCTGCTGCCAGGGTACACATCTCACATGCAGAACCCCGCCTCACGGCTCCCCCCAAGGCCAGATTCCCTGACGCTGCTTCCTACAGGGCAGCCCTGGGGCTCACTTCCCTGCTCCCCCACACCACCCCCGTGTCAATACCAGCTGCCTCCCTAGGGAAAACCAGTCTTTTTCAGGTGGAGGGACGGTCCCGGGTGCCCCGCACAGGGTCACAGTAAGATTTTTCCATGCGTGGAGCAGACTGCCTCCTGTGGAGGAGGGTCCTTATGGAGAAAGGGGTGGGCTTTCAGAAGGGGGTGTTGTGGTGGAATCTGGGGCTCATGGTGCAAGACAGGTGGGTGACAGGAAAAATGAGACACAGTGATTCAGGCTCCATTGGCAACGCTGCGTTTGCTCCAGCTTTTAAAAAGGTGCATGCCTCCCACTGAAGGTCATCGATTCCTTTATCCCTCTGTCGTTTAGCAACCGTGCACCAGTGTCTCCCGTGTTCCGGGCCCAGTGCTGAGGGGAAATGCAAGACAGACTTCCCGTCCTCCGTGAAGGGATGGTCCGCATTGAACAAGCTATGACAAGGGAGGCTGCTTTATGACAGAGTCTCAGGTACTGCTGGGAGTCTTTGGACAGTGGGGGGCCGGGGAGCCCCAACCTGTCCCAAGGGAGGCTGCCCCAGGAAGATGAGACCTGAAGGCCAAGGCCATGAAAGGTGTTTTGTTAGAATTCATGTGTTATGGTTCATCTTCAATAATTAACACATTGTGGCCCTGGCTGGGTGGCTTGGTTGGAGTGTCATTTTATACATGGGGGGGGGGGGGGGGGGAAAAGCAGGTTCAATTCCCAGGCAAAGCACATACCCAGGTTACAGGTTCGATTCCCCGGTCAGCATATGAGCAGCAACTGATCCACGTTTTTCTCTTTCTCCCTTCCTCTAAAAAAGAGAAGAAAGAAAGAAACCAATAAAAACTCATATCCTTGAGTGAAGATTTTTTAAAAAAATAAACACACTGTAAATTTTCTAACTGTGCACAGTGCTATACCACAAACTTAAGACTCACCTACCCTTCTCTGCTGACCTCCCCAGCTCTTTGTGATGAGGCCTTGTGTACCCCGGTCATCAAAGTCTATTTGTATTCAGCATCTATATTTTTCTCTCACTGCAAAGTATTTTTTTCAAATGGGATTATACTACAGCAGAGGATCTCAACCTGGGACAGCTGGCAAAGTCTGGAGACATTTCTGATTGTCACATCAGAGCAGAGAGGATGCTACGGGCATCTAATGAGTAGAGGCCAGGGATGCTGTTAAACATCCTACAATACACACGACAGCTCCCACAGTGGAGAATCATATGGTCCAAAATATCAATAGTGCTGAGGTTGAGAAACCCTGTTCTATACACTGAGTGGCCAGATTATTATGATCTCTGAATGCATAATCTGATCTCTCAGTGTATATCCTGTATATAATAATAAAGGGTAATATGGAAATTGTCCCTCTACCAGGAGTTCGACCAGTAGGCAGGCAGGCCAACCACCCATGTCCCCTTCCTATGCATGTAGACATCATAATAATCTGGCCACTCAGTGTATAAGCACATTGTGTCTGCAGCTTATCATATACATTAAATTACAATAGGTAGATGGTAGATTATTCACCTCAGCACTTGTAAATCCTTCCCCATCATTTTTAGTTAGGTGTTTGCAGTCTTCTGCTATTGCAAACATTTGTACTATACGAATCATTCTTTTCCACATACTTGCCCTTGAGTCACGTGCGAGGTCAAAGGATAAATTGATGGAGGGGGCGTGGATGGATTAGAGGGTTCATTAGCATTTAAGTGACTTGATTTCAAGTCTCTTTGGGGAAGAGAGTCCATTAGGACAGGGCTTCCTCCAAAGCCTGGTGGGAAAGCTCTCTTCCTTCTCATCTACCGACGAGGGTGTCCTGACAGCCTGTCTCTCCACAGGACGAGGGTGTCCCCCACCTGAAGGCAAGGAGCCAGGCCCCGCGCGATGGCTCGGAGCCGCGTGCCCACGGCCCCGCCCTTCCCCATGGAGAAAGGACTTGCTTCGCCCCAGGACTGCCGGGACTTCCTGCACAGCCTGAGGATGAGGAGCAAATATGCCCTCTTCCTGGCTTTTGTGGTGGTGGTTTTTCTCTTCATTGAAAAGGAAAATAAAATCATATCGAGGTGAGGCATGCAAGCACACGTCTTCTTATCAAGGCGGGCAGGAGGCACTCTGGGCCTGCGAAAGCAGACCTTCCGCCCGTGACCATCAGACCTCCCGTGCCCAAGCCGTGGGCCATGCACAGGTCCTCCGTGGCGAGCTCTGGGCTCTGGACAAACGCAACCTGGCTTGGAACTCTCATTCCGGCCCTTTCTAGCTGGGACACTTGGGCACACAATTTCCCTTTTCTGTCTTTAAGCGCCTCTTCTCTGAAACATGGCTAATGGTGGGGCCTACCTTACTGTAAAGATTCAGTGAAAAAAAAGTAAACGTTATTAGCCTAGTGCATGGTACTGGTGTCCAGTACCTGCTGGCTGTGGTTTAATATTATTAACTAACTTCCTGGCCTAGGATGATGCCTCCAATTAGCAGCCCATCCCCTTTACCAATCCGAAGTCATGGGTGAGGGTGAGTCCTGGAGAGGCAGGGCCCTGAAACGGATACCCTGGTGAGCAGGGGTGCACCGAACTGCCCAGGTTGCATATTGTTCAGCTGCAAGACCCTGCACTCACATAGGCTACACTGGAAATGCTGCCCCCTAGAGTTCTCCGTGTGTGGCTGCATGCAGTCCCTGCCATAGATTGCTTTAGATGCTCTCCCAGGCACAACCCCTGCAAGAAAGCATCCACCAAGATGGGCAGGCATTGGGCTGAGTCAGTGCCTGGCATGGACCGTTCCAGTTCGTGCCTTCAGGGCCTGCTGCTGCTCTTGCCCGGGGGCTTTTCTGCCCGCCTGCACACTGGCAAGGCACAGCACCGGCCAGGGAGCTTCACCCCTTGGGAGCGAGAATCCTAGGGGTGTTCCTTGTCTCCCAGGGCCCCCCAGCCAGAGTGATTTGCCCACAGGAGTAGCCTGCACATCTTTTATGGACTTACTTTCCTTATGTTCACTTCCCTACCCCTCTACCAGTCTGTCCCGTAACCGTGTCCCAAACCAACTGCTTACCCTCAAATCCTTGCCTCAAAGTCAGCTTCGGGGGGGAAAAAAAAACAGCTGAGAGAGGCTTTGGGTGATCAGCCTGGGAGGCAACACAGAGGATAGAGGGACCCCTACACCCCCATTCTTTACTGAGCTGTGTGGTTTCCCTCTGTCCGCACAGGGTCTCGGACAAGCTGAAGCAGATCCCCCAGTCCCTGGCGGATGCCAACAGCACGGACCCAGGCCTGGTCTTGGCCGAGAACGCATCCCTCTTGTCCCTGAGCGAGCTGGATTCCGCCTTCACGCAGCTGCAGAGCCGCCTGCGAAACTTCAGCCTGCAGCTGGGCCTGCAGCCAGCGGAGGAGAAGCAGGAGGCGGCCAAGGGGGAGGAAGAGGAGGAGGAGGCAGAGGAGGAGGAGGGGGAGCAGCCACCCGGCCCCGCCGAGGCCGGCCGCCGGCGCCACGTGCTCCTCATGGCCACCACCCGCACGGGCTCGTCCTTCGTGGGCGAGTTCTTCAACCAGCAGGGCAACATCTTCTACCTCTTCGAGCCGCTGTGGCACATCGAGCGCACCGTGAGCTTCGAGCCCGGCGGCGCGAGCGCGGCGGGCTCGGCGCTGGTGTACCGGGACGTGCTCCAGCAGCTGTTCCTGTGCGACCTGTACGTGCTGGAGCACTTCATCAGCCCGCTGCCCGAGGACCACCTGACGCCCGGCATGTTCCGCCGCGGCTCCAGCCGCTCGCTGTGCGAGGAGCCGGTGTGCACGCCCTTCGTCAAGAAGGTCTTCGAGAAGTACCGCTGCAAGAACCGCCGCTGCGGGCCGCTCAACGTGACGCTGGCGGCCGAGGCCTGCCGCCGCAAGGAGCACATGGCGCTCAAGGCCGTGCGCATCCGCCAGCTGGAGTTCCTGCGGCCGCTGGCCGAGGACCCGCGCCTGGACCTGCGCGTCATCCAGCTGGTGCGCGACCCCCGCGCCGTGCTGGCCTCGCGCATGGTGGCCTTCGCGGGCAAGTACGAGCCGTGGAAGAGGTGGCTGGCCGAGGGGCAGGACCGGCTGCGCGAGGAGGAGGTGCAGCGGCTGCGGGGCCACTGCGAGAGCCTCCGCGCGTCCGCGGAGCTGGGCCTGCGGCAGCCCGCCTGGCTGCGCGGCCGCTACCTGCTGGTGCGCTACGAGGACGTGGCGCGCCGGCCGCTGCAGAAGGCGCGCGACATGTACCGCTTCGCCGGCATCCCGCTGACGCCGCAGGTGGAGGACTGGATCCGGAGGAACACGCAGGCGCCCCGCGACGCCAGCGGCATCTACTCCACGCAGAAGAACTCGTCGGAGCAGTTCGAGAAGTGGCGCTTCGGCATGCCCTTCAAGCTGGCGCAGGTGGTGCAGGACGCCTGCGGGCCCGCCATGCGCCTCTTCGGCTACAAGCTGGCGCGGGACGCCGCCGCGCTCACCAACCGCTCCGTCAGCCTGCTGGAGGAGCGCGGCTCCTTCTGGGTCACGTAGGGGGCGGCCTGGGGCCACCGCGCCCTGCCCTCCTCGCGAAAGTCCCGCCCTGCTTCCTCCGCCCAGGTCAGCCCGGAGCCCGGGCGCGCACGCGCTCGCAGAGGCCACGGGAAGCCGCGCAGGGAGCAGCCCGCAGCCAGCCAGCTTCCCCAGCCGCTGTGGGCTGGGCTGCTGCTGAGAACAGGACGGTGCCCTGCCCCGTGCGGGCATCAGCCCAGACCTAAGGGGCAGGCTCTCGCCTATTGACAGTCTCTCTCTCTCTCTGTCTGTCTCTCTCTCTCTCTGTCTGTCTCTCTCTCTCTCTTTCTCTCTCTTTATCTCTCATATACATACAGACACACACAGAAACATACATGAAGTACACATAAGTGCCTGTACACCCTGTGGGCCAGACCACAATCCCACAGTCTGGATTTCTACAATCCAGTGTAGATTCTGGGTGGTCCCCAGGGCGGGGCTGGGACAGCCCAGGGTGACAGAGGATGGCAGCTGAGGCCTCCCAATCCAGTGTTTCCCTAAATGGTCCCCTGTGCTGGTGAATGACGGAGTCAGCTCTGTGAGGAGCCGCAGCACACTCCTACAGAGACAAATAACTGCAGGCACAGCACACAGCACACACCGCTGTGGGAAACATAGAAGCACAATTCTGCGTACACACGTGAACATAAGCGGACAAGCTCTCCCATTGCTCTGTGCCCACAGGCTTTGTAGGATTCATGTGTATCACTAGCCTGTCTGGGAGCTGGGGAAGGAAACGTGTTCATGGCCGTGGCCTTGTTTCCCGACTGGGTTTGGGATGGACAGTGGACAACAGAGTGCCGAGTCTGCGGCCCCCACTCACCTTGGAGACTGGGGCTACTGCTTCTGGCCCGTTCCCGTCCTTGCTGCTGGCTGGCAGGACGTTTTGAGATGGCGCGGTCGACCCTGACGGGACTGCGGCCCAGAGGTCCCATCCCCGCTCTGCTGACGCCCTGGAGCGTGTCCGTGCCTGAAGGCGGCCTCGGGCCTGACGGCAGAAGCAGCTGTGGCCCCTGGAAGCAAAAGGAACTCATGGGTCCTGCCCTTCCAGCCAGGCCTCGGGAGCAGGGCCCAGGGGCAGTGCAGAGCGCGCGTGGAGGAGAAGTCACATCAGGATAGCCCTCCCCTGAGAAGACGGGGGACAGCGGTCAGTCTCCTGCTGGCTGCCACAGTTGTGTGGTTAGTCTGAAATTCCTCCTTCAGGGTTCTGGGAAGAATGTTGCTTAAGGGGATGGACCGGGTGTTTGTTTTCTGTTCTGTGTGTGTGTGTGTGTGTGTGTGTCTAAGATATTTATGGTTTGGTGTCTTGTTTTGCGGCTGTGTTTTTGTTCCTGCAGAAGTGCCTCTTGGAAGCAGTCTGTGCTTGAGGGGCCGAGGGGGCCCTGGGAGGATCAGGGGGAGCACTCTGGTGCTTGCTGGAGGGAGAGGAGGAGGAGGAAGAGCCTCCTCCCAGGGTCAGAGCCTCGGTGGCCACGGGACAACCCACAGTGCCTTTCGGGCTTTTCTGCTTGAACTCGTGTGAAAGGAGTCTCAGAAACCGCCAGCCTTCTTCGCTGCATGTCCAGAAGCAGCATAAGTTAGCAGCCCTCAACCCAGGCCCAGTCACATTCCCAGGGGCAGGGGAGAGGGCAGGCCCTGTGACCGACCCGGGGAGCCCAGCTCAGGGCCATCTAAGAACTCACAGGACTCCGTCACTTCACGAAGGGCTGTTCCTGATTTCCTGATTTCAAACCCATACCATGGTCCAGCCCAGAGGGCTGAGTTTTCATTGTGAATATGGACATGAGGAAAAGACAGGATCTGAGTCCAGCTGGGGCTGCTGTGGGGAAGGAAGGGGTTGTCCTGGCTGGAAACTGCCATTTGAAAAGGCGAGGATGGTAGCCATCTTACGGGTCCCTTATAACCTCCGGATCTGAGCTGCATGCATCACCACGGACATCAGCCGCCCAAGGAGGTCTCCGCTCCAGGCTCTCCAGTCTGAGAATAAGTTGTGCAGGGATCTGGCTCTCATTTGGGGTCCAAAGGGACTCCAGCTCTGAAAACTTGGCCCTGGGACAGAGTGGGGCCAGGATTTTTCTGGCAGGCCCAGAGTGCTGTGCTAGTGGGTCTTCCCCAGCCCCTGCCCCGCCCCCCCTACACTGTCCCCCTCCTGGTCCTCCCTCCAGGGTCCTTCCTGGGTCCTCCTACTGTGGGCAGCAGACTTCTCCTTCCTTCTGATGTCCGGGGACAAGGTGCCGAGAGTGGACCTTGGGGACTTCTCAGGACATTGACGATTTGTACACAGCAAGTTGACTTAACTTATTTATTTTGTGAAAAAGAAGTGACAGAAAATGTCTTATTGTGTGCAGGAACTCAAAGCTGCCTAATAATAAGAATTATTCACTCATCCACACACAAGGACAATCCAAGACCATTCAGAATGCAAAAGGCAACGAAACCGAGACCGCAGGAGCCGGGGCGTCCAGGCTCTTGTTTAAAGAGACCCCTGGGTTTCCTCTTGCAGATCTGAGGATGCGACAGTCAGGCCCTTTCTGCTGAATGGCCTTGGCCCCAGTGTCTGAAACAGGACACAGCTCAGTCAGTGTTGCCGCGGGCTCTGGGAAGCCTGGGGGTTTGGGGAAGGCCAGGGTGGGGTGACCGTTGCCTTTTCATCCGTGGGACCTGGTTGGGGTCACGTCTCTGGGGCTTTCAGCACGCACCTAGCTGGGGACGCGCCCTCTTGTCCCGGTTTCTCTGCTCCTGCTGATCCACCAGGAGCCTTCCCTCCACCCCCCCACCCTCCCACCCCAGCCTCCTGGAGACAGAGGGAGCATTTGAGGCCTCACCTCGCCACCGCTACCAGCTTCCTCAGAACAAGGGCCCATTCAGCAGTGAGCCTTTACTCACTTTTTCTTCCTGAAGAAGATCTCTTTAGCCTGGCCCGTATAAATAGTTCAGAACATTCCAGGCTCTGGTGAGACAGGGCCGTGTCTAACACCCGCAAGCCATCACCACCACGGCCCGTTCCTGACTTCTCTGTGCCTGTTTGTAAGCCTTGGTGTGGGGGCAGGCCCGGGGGAGCAGCCGGCGGGGCCCCAGGGAGCGGGTGAAGGGAGCGGGGTGCAGCGCGGTCACCCCCCCTGCAGGTCATTCCCGAGCGAAGGTTGAGAAAGGCGACTAAATTCGCTAGACCATGAGTAACTAAATATTAAAATATTTAAGGAAGAGTTTACTCCATATCTGCCAGCGCCCTTGGCCAGAGGCTGGTCTAACGGGGCAGCTCCTGACTAAACGCCCGAGAACAGAAGATACCCACTCGGCCCTCACAGTGGCATCTTTCTCTGCCACCTCTGCCATCTGTCCAACCATGGAACCAGCTCCAGCAGAAGGTCAGGGGGTCCCTGGCCCAGAAGATGCCTGTGTGGCCTAGACAGCAGACAGGAGATGCAAGCATCGATGGTCCTGACTCTGACGGTCTCGTTGGCCCCGGGTGACCCTCTCTCACACACGGGCCTGTTGTACTGGACCATCAGGTCTGTCCCTGGATAGGCCCCGGATGATGAAGGACGGGAGCAGAAGACTGGGTGGCTGTGTCCCCAGGGCCATCCTCTCTCACTCCTGTCCCCAAAGGCTGGAGGAAGGATGGGAGCCTGGTCAGAGAGAGCTGAGGGGAGAGCATGGGAGGAGATGGGTTCTTGCGGATCTGCACGAACAGAGAGAAGGGGCATCCATAGCAGTCCAGGGCTCAGGTGGCTGAGTTGCTTGTGGAGAGTCCCAGGACGTGGTCCCGCTGGACAGGAGGGAGGAGGCCACGGCGCCCTGAGGGCAGCCACGGGGCCTCTCAGCTGTCACGGTTTCAGAATAGCCAGAACTGCTCTTTCCCTCAAAAGGGCGACGCAGAATTGCCAACTTCAGAAATCTTAAAACACTTCGAGGTCCTTTGTCCTTCCACAACTGTGCCCAGGGAACTAATCCATTACCTGTTTCCAAGGATACAGACACAGAACCATCCATCCCCACGAGTTTTGCTGGTATTGTAGATGGGGTGTTTTGCCTGAGAAGTGAGATGACCCCTGTACCCTGCTTCCTCTCCCTCTGGGCATGGCCTGGGCACCCCCTGAAGTCTCCGGCTCAGCGGTAAATTCTAGGCCAAGTCCGCTCGGCTCCCCTGCTCCCTCCTGGACCCCGCTCACGCTGCCTCTTTGCCAAGACCTCTCCTTGGGTCATGTTTTGAGGCCACATGGTACAGGACGCTCCCCTCATGGCTATGTGTGGCCATGGTGTGTGTACATAGGTGTCCACATGTTTGTGTGTGTGTAACATGCAGCTCCTTCTGCTCGGCCACATGGCTCCTGGCCCCCTCCCCGTCAGTCCCAGATGTCCTCACCACTCGCTGTGGCCACATACGACCGCCCTTCAGAGAGCTGGCAGCCAGCACCGGTCGGGGTCTGCTTTACGGAAGAGAATGTGAACCCATCGCCTGATGGCTTACTTGATTTATTTAATTAAAAGTGGAAACATGCAATGAGTAAAACTCGAAGTGTCTCTGCCTTTCTTTTGCATTTGTTCTCAGTGGCAATCATAAAAATTAACGGGGAAAACAAGCAGCTGTAGGAACGGGGTGACTTCCGGCATGAAGCAGGGCAGAGGAAGCCCCACCCCCTCCTGAGGAATGACGGGCAGGAAGTGTGGCTGAGGGCAGGGGCATGAGGCACGGCCTGCCTGTCACCAGGACGGCAGAGCCAGGGTGGCTGTGTTGGCAGCTGGCTGCAGGCGTGAGGTCTGAGAGGTCAGTTCCCAGGCATCCTGGGGCAGGGCATTGGCCAGAGGTCAAGGCACTTGGAGGCACGTCCCAGCTTTGCCACTATCTGGCCCCGTGCCCTTTGGGCAAGTAACATTCCTTATCTGAGCCCCAGTTTCCGTTAGAATGAGGGTGCAATCTGTGGTTTACAATCTCTGTTCCAAAAAGCCCATTAGAGATTGAAAAATCAGCCCTCGTGCCCAGAACAACTGCATCGATTGGCTGGCACTTGAGATTTCATTTGGCCTTAAGGAAGTTTTAAAATCCCCACAAGGAGATTTCTCAGGCTCTTTCTCACTAAGAAAATGTAACGGAACCCTTTCAGATTGCAATCACGTTGCTCTTGCAGTTATAACAATTTTAGTGTGAATTAGATCCCCACCCTTTTGTCCCCTCACAGCTGCCTGGAGGGAACGGGCTCTCGTAGGGAGAGGTTCATTCTGGAACACGGAAGGCAGAGCTGGGGGGCCCTTGTGGGTTGGGGGACCTGGGCCAGCAGGGCAGCAGCAACACGAAGGGACAGAAGAGCTGAGCCTGGGGACAGCGGTGCCTAGAGGAGGGGTGATGCCAGGGGAAGGCACACTGTAAGGGAATGGGACCCCTTTCCCAAACCTGGAGCCTGTGTCTGTGCCATTTCACCCGGGCCCGACCTCGAAAACTCACACCATCTTTCTCTCAGCCTTAACATACAGGAGTCAGAGCAATGACGTCCGACCTGGTGAAATCTCCATCCCCAGTCCCCAGCCCCCAGCCAGGGGGCACTGCTGTCTCCTTTCTTCTGGGGACTGGGTATATTTAGCTTCTTTTCTGGGTTGTGTTTCCTACCACAAATGGCCGCTGGAGACACAAATGGCCCTAATCACAGACAGAGCAGCCCAGACACCTCCCCACCCACTCAGCCACCAACCCAGACCAAAAGCCATCTTCCTCCCCACCCCACCCCCACCCCATCCCAAATCTTACTCCTCTATACCCCAAGTTACCCTGGGAAGGAGCTGAACACCCCACAGGGTCTCCGGGGAGTGACAGTCAGCTGGACCCAATGCAGGAAGCAGTTTGATCACCAGCAGGGGCCTGGGACGTGTACCGCTTGGCCCTGGAGCCCTGCCAGGCAGGCCCAGCCATGGAGTCTGCAGCACGGAATCTCTGAGAGTGCTTGGCAGACCTGTGGTCACCTGACTGCTGAGTGCACATTGGCATAGTCAAGGCTCGAGGATTCACCAGAATCACTGTTATGGGTAGGATTCTTTTTATCATAAAAACTTTTTTTTTTTTTTTTTTTTTTTTTTTTTGCCAAACAACATTTTCAAGACTCTGGAATCCTACAGAATAATTTGGAGCAGCCAGAAACCTGCATGTATAAGCTTATACCACTGAAAGCCAGAATACACAGACATGATGGTGGAGGGTGAAGAGGCTGGGAGAACAAGTGTAGGGTCAGGTTTCAGAGCCCTATCCCACCTCAAGCCATTCTCACCGAGCTGCAGGCAGGAGCAGGAGGTGGCCTATGGCCGTGGTCGGCAAACTGCGGCTCGCAAGCCACATGCGGCTCTTTGGCCCCTTGAATGTGGCTCTTCCACAAAATAGCACGGCCGGGGTGAGTCTGTTTTGAAGCAGTGGCGTCAGAAGAAGTTTACGTTTAAAAAATTGTGGCTCTCCAAAGAAATTTCAATCGTTGTGCTGTAGACATTTGGCTCTGTTGACTAATGAGTTTGCCGACCGCTGGCTGGCCTATGGGATTGTAGCAGACTCGGGGTCACTGTGGAGAGAGTTCACGGCCCAAGGCGCCCATCTGCTGTCATAAAATGCCTGAAACCCTCGGTCCTTGGCGTTCTCAACTCACCCCATACCAACAGGGCCTCTGTGACATCCCCACAGAGAGGGAGGGTCTGGGGGACCCGGCCAGGCACAGACAGCACATTGACCTGAGAAACTGGAGCTCGGATACTTCTTAGAGGAGGCGTTTCTCAAACAGCCGGACAAGGGTCCCCCTCCGTCAACAGGTTCCCTGGAGATACAACCCTCTAGTCGCTAGTAAACCCTTGCTAAATGCTGCTGGCACTTCATTGGGAGCACAGGCAGGCAGCCAGTCAAGGCTTGCCCAGGAAATCAGGACGAGAGAAGGAAGGAAGGGAGAGAGGGG